TCATGTTTTGTTTAACATTACACACATGTACAGACACACTCATGTTTCAATACAGCAGCTCTGGTTTTTCTCCTCCAGTCAACATATCTTTCATAAATTTAAACCTTGTGTATATTTTTTGGTAGAAATATGGCTTTTTGCAGGAAATGATGACATCACAGTTACTCTAAGTTGTATAACACTGCGTTTTATTTATCACCAGTTTGACATATTAAAACATTCTGTTTCATACAGGAGGACACCATCTCTATTAATCATAACTGGCTAAATGGCTGCAACATTGACATCATGTGGCAGTTTCTTCAGACTGAACTGTCATCTGTTCAAAAAGAGATAAATGAGTGGAGAAACACGATGGACTCGTGGCATCAGCACTGCCAGGTACAATGCATGGAACTTTTCAGTCATGTCATTTAATCGTGCTTCTGCTCTGATCATAATAGCAATTGCTTGGTGTGTTTCCTTTTAGGTAATTATGAAGGCTTGCTCCGGTATCAATTATGGAGAATTTGCCTCGTTTTTGAAAATTATTGCCAACAACAGAATGGCTTTCCTTAACGCTTGCTCCTCTGGGGATTCCTCTGATTACTCACGTCATCTCTCAGAGATTCTCACCACGTTGGGACCTTACCATGCGGCCTTTGACCTACAAAGGGTAGCTCATATAATCGAATGCCTCCTGTGCAATGAAGACTTTAAGAGACTCGATCACTCAACATTGACTCTGCAGCCAGAAACAATGTTACAGCAAATTCGTGACACCATACAGTCCACAAGAGGGCAGCATCTCCTTTATCAGGAGTAATGTGTTCGGCCTCTCACCATTGTTATCGACTGGAAATAGCTTGAATGAAAAGTGCCCGTTTGCAAAAGTGCAAAAACAAAAAAAAGATACATCTGTTATTGCATCTTTGGGTTGAGATGAACTGGAATCTCAAATATTGTTTGTGAATGTCTTGCATTTGTTTTTGCACTGACAGATTAAATACATTAAAAAAAAAACAAAAAAAAACTGAGTTCTCTCTTTTAAATATTTATTGAATAATCACCAAACTATTTGTGTCCAGTATGAACAGAGCTGTGATAAATCTATAATAGTGCATAGTTTAGTGGTAAATAATACTTAAACAAAAAATCCAAAACACACACACAAACTTGGGCTTTATTGCAAAAAAAAAAAAAATACCCAAACATGGACCAGTGCCACACAGCTGTTAAGCAATGACAGTGTAACATACTGTACTTGAGGGTTATGTCTATGAGAAGTCTGTCAGATGTGATGCATGTCATTTTTAGGGAGCTTTAAAACATTCCCTTCAGTTACATTTCACATCTTCAGGCCACCAGTCTGGCACGGAGGCTTCGAGTGTCACTGTAGTATCGTCAGAAGATCTGAGCGTCAACACCTCTTTGGCGTGCGCCATGCGGATCAGACTTAGGCCCAGTTCTCCTGTCCCTGCTCTGTGCTTCCCAGCTGGCTTGCCTGACTGGGTTAGCAGGGCCGTTCCTTCCTCGAGGTGTTCCACTGGAGATGACAAGCGTACTGGCATCAGGCGTTTTCGAATCACACCAGTGTGATGAGTCCTGGCTGTGAGTTCCTGGCCAATGTAACAGCCCTTGCTAAAGCTGATACCCTGCATGTAGACAAGATTGGACTCTAGTGGAAGTGCAACCCCAGGAGGAAGGTCTTTGACTCCCTCAGGTAGACCTAGACAACAAAAACAGCAAAGGACACAAACATGCGTCATAAAATAAGAGTACTTTTTCAGACAAATAAAAGCTTCTCAGAACCACCCCCTCCTCCTTTTGTCTGTGCTTGTCTGTCTCTTTGTTAGCAGTCTAGCATCCACAGCTTTCAAGACATCATGTTTAAATTTTGTGTGATGGTAGATTCCAATGCCATCTCGAGCCGATTTTAACTTTGGTGAGAATACAGTAAAGGTCACACCAAAACTAAAAATTAGCAAAAACTTCATATTACCCACAATTTTTTATAGATCATTGTCAAACTTCGCAACAATATTCCAGGTCTTGGGGGACACTGAGGTTGGCTAAGCATTTGACCTCGACCTTCATTTCTCATAGCCCAAGGTCAAAGTTGACCTAGAAAAGAAATTGGAAATAAAAAAACCCATAGACATATCATATCATAACATATCATATGAAAGTGCATGGAGAGAGCTGCACAATACTTTATTTTTTTCAAGACAACGCCCTATGACCTCACAACAAAATCACACACTGCATGAATTTATCTTCGTCTCAGGATCTAGCTAGCGTTTTTTTTTTCCTGGAGCCTATCCCAGCTACGGTAGGGCGAGAGGCAGTAACTAAGTAAGTAAAATGTCTTTACATAGATCTGCTTAAAACAGGAAGTTTTTTCAAAGTGCTTCACATGGGAATAAAAGCATATCAAACGCAACAATAAAAATGGTATAAAAAAGGTATAAAAGCATATCAATCAATACAATAAACACTATAAATAGGGTATAATAGCATATCCAATAAAACAGTTTGCTACATATGGCAGGTCTGTCGCACGCCTAACACAGAGAGACAGACAACTATTAATACTCATGGGCAATTTAGAATGGCCAATTAAACTAAACCCACTAACTGCATGTCTTTGGACTGTGGGAGGAAGCTGGAGTACCCAGAGAGAACCCAGGCAAACACGGGGAGAACATAAAACTCCACACAGAAAGGCCCTGGCCAGGCGGTGGAATTTAACTCAGGACGTTCTTGCTGTGAGGCTAATCACCATGCCACCGTGCTGCCCATACGGGTAAATCTTATTTTTGTCCTTATAAAGGTAAAAGAACATATTGTATTAAAAGCAACCTGTCCTCCCACTGTAATAAAAACATCCCGCGCCCCCAAAAAATTCAGAGTTTTAGTAAAGCCCTTGCCCTTCGGAATAAGTTGCTCTCTCTCTCTGGGTGTTCTTGTTTGTCTTTGTTCAAAGCTGGTGTCATACCTATGGCATAGCGATGTCTGTGATAGTCTTCAGTGTCTCCTTTCTGACAGGATGCAATGACTTTGAGAGGATCAACATCACTCTGTAGCACAAATCTCCAGCCCATTTGCTGAGTTCTTGGATCAGCCTCCCATGCCAGAGCTTTATCAGGGGAAGAAAGCTCAGGCTTACTGAACTCTTGACCTGGCTTGTTTTGCTGGGACAGCACAGCCCACACAGAGAGCTCTGAACAAGGGCTAATGTTGACTTTTCTGCGGAGGTTGTATACTTTCAAGTGTTTCAAGATGGAGTCCTTAATTGTGTTGTCACACTCCAGGAAAACACCGTATCCTCCTTCTGTTTCTTTTAATCTGAAAGCAAATATAACTGGATGAGTGACTCAGAAGAATGCAAAACAACATGAAAGCAAACATACGCAGATGTTTTCACTTATTTTGTCTGGTTGGGTGACCTTTGATGGAGCATCTGTGGTCACCCACTGTGTCTTAAGGATAAGGAGAGAATTATTACCCCTCCTATGAGAATGTAATTTTTAAACAGGATTTGCTGTAACAGCAAATACTGTCAAACAGAGCAAGGAGTTTTTAAACACAGCTTTACAAAGTACTACAAAGACTAGTAAAAATGCTGTTTAGATATCAAGATGAGTTATGAGTGGTGAGAACTGCAACAACTGCAACTATTCAAAACTGGGGATATTTACAACCAGGTGTACAAGAATATCATCTTAAATAGTTTAAGGTATAGAAAACGTGGTTCACCCAACAATGTACATCAAAACTAAAAGAACATTGATCATGTGTCAGACACTAAAAATTTGAGATGCTAATATTGCAAAATGTCTTTTTGCAGTTTATTAGAGAAGTTATACTCTATAATTTAGATGTACTCAAGTACAGCATACATGACAAACGCTTTTTAATATAGAATTTTAAAAATGGTTTCTACTTCAACCATCAACATTAGTCGTTTTTTGCTTTTTAAAGTTTCATTAACATTATTTTTAGTAACAGTAAAAAATAGGCAAGTGATAAAGAAGAGCTGTTGTTGTTCCTGTGCTGAATTTTACAGCTTATTAAATAAGGGTTTGTCAGCCTGAGCTCGTTTTCTGTCATACATTTGGTTGTTTCTGGGGTTTAAAAAAAATAGAAGGAAAAAAGAAAATAAGCTTATGTCGGCCAGTGTGACGCCACGGAAAAAAACGCCTTTACGTAAGTAGGCTGTAAGCAGACACACCCTCTTGATAACGCGTTTACTGAATGCACTTATAAGCGTTTGAACAGTGCTCTACGTTTGCTCTTACCTGTACAATATGATGTCATATAGTGTCCTTCCTTGCACGTTTAGCATGTGTGCGTATAAAGCTCTGTGTTCTGGCTCATCCAGCACCGCCATGTCATTGGTTATAATACCCTGGAGAAACGCGCTCGTGTCTTGTCCCTGAATTTTCAGCAGGCTCCTGTGCGGAAGGTAATAGCACACAAATTGCCCCGGGGAGTGTTTAGGATTACCCGTGTCCTGGCTGTACCTCCTGACACGGATCCCAGCTGGAGCTAACACACTCGAGAGAAGGGTTACACACAAACCTCCGGGTTTTTTCCTGGCGTAAACACCGAGCCCGGAGGCGGACGCCAGCACTCCCCGAGCAAAGCACAAAACCCCCATGATGTACAGTGGCACGGGAGTGTACTGAGTCGTAAAAAGACTGCCTACTCCACTAAAAACGACAGTGGCCAGCTAAATAACCAAGGATATCACAGCGTACTCTGCACAAACAGCTCCATTTTGAAATCCCACAATGCATTGCTCGATAGCACGTGTGTGTCAGTGAGCGATATTTGTTCCCGTCGTCTTCTCGTGAGGTATGGGACGCTTATTGATAGAATAAAAGCTCTCCTACTATCCCTTTATAAATAGTTATCAGATTGTAAAACATAAAAACGACACACAGAACAGCAAAGCAGCAAAAATCAAAGTTATTAAAGTTGCTTGTTTGCGAGTTTTTTGCATATTCCTCAGTAATGATATAATTTTTTCAAATTTTGCGTGATAGGCAGACAACAAGAACAGCTTGAGCTGATTTAATTTTGTCGAACCTCTCACCAAATGTAAAAATAATCAGTAAAAACTCTGTATTGCACACGTTTTTTTTATTACAATCTTCAAACTCCACAATATACTAGGCCTTGAGGGACATGAGTACCTAGGTTGGCTAAACATATGACAGATAGTGCTCAAGATCAAAATTGACAATAAAATGTAAAGAAACCATATTGAGTAATATAGCATATGAAAGGGCATGGAGAGAGCTGTACAACCCTCTGTAGAATGACACCATAACAGGCTGATACCAGTTTGTAATAAAAACATCAAAGTTTTAGTTTAGGCCAGGGGTGTCGAACTCCAGGCCTCGAGGGCGGTGTCCTGCAGGTTTTAGATCTCACTCTGGGTCAACACACCTGAATCAAGTGATCAGTTCATTTTCAGCCTCTGGAGAACTTCAAGACATGTTGAGGAGGTAATTTAGCCATTTAAATCACCTGTGTTGGATCAAGGACACATCTAAAACCTGCAGGACACCCTCGAGGCCTGGAGTTTGACACCTGTGGTCTAGGCCTTGGCCTTTAGGGGGAGTAACGCTCTGTGAATGTTCTTGTTTTAATACTATCGTGGTGCTGTGAATCTGTAAGTCAGCGGAGTAGCCAGCTCCCACATTGTGATGTTGATCTTTCATTAGCTGTGATTTTATAAGACAACAGATTAAATGTTTGAAATAATTAAATGTAGGGCAACTAATATTATTTGGGGCAAATGGAATGAGAAATAGCCTGAAAATTTCCTATATGTACCTTAATAGATGCATATGCACAGCCTGTAGAGCTTAAGGTTTGGCATTGATTACATAAAAAGGAGAAATAGCCTTTATTTTATTTGAATGCAGTTTGCCCAGATTCATATGAGCACAAATAGAAATTAAACTATGTCAGTAAGTAATTGAATTTACTTACTTATTTACTTAAGTAAGAATATCTAAAAGCTAAACAAACAAACAACAAAGGTATCTCTTCAGCTTAGGTTTAAAAAGGTTCAGAGTCGATGCTTGTCTGAGGCCACTTGGGAGAAATTCCAAAGTCCTGGTGCAATGACAGCAAAGATATGACCCCATTTTAAGATAAGGCTCAACCAGCAGATGGTCAGAAGTGATAGAGAAGTACCTGCAGTAACATCCTAACTTTCTTCAATGCTCTAATTTTTAGTCAGACTTCAATCAAAGAAACAACTTTAAAGCGTTTGCACTTTTAGAAACACTTTCTTTATTAGCACAGTGAGACAAAAGCAGAGTGCTGCTGTAAAGACAGAAATCTGAGGTTTCAAACAAGTTTATTTTTGTTTCATAAATAAAATACTTGAACAGTCTTTTAAGGTTTGAGGCACTTTGTTGTATGAAAACAGCGAAGGCAGGATTAACCATTATTATGAAAGCAATTATAGAAACAGAAAAAAAGGTAATAATCTCATTTAACATGCCAAGACTTAGGAGCTTATTGAATAGCTAAGGACAGGATTTTTACTATAGCCTATGTCTATGCTGTATGTTCCCAGCTGCAAAGCATGCATCATCTACTTTAGATTGCATAAAATCAGTATTTAGTGTATTTTCTATTTACTTACCTCTTTCTGTTCAAATGTGACGCTGCAAGGCTTTGGGACACATTGATTGGCGATGACACTAAGAAGATTTAAAGCCTTCAGTGTCAAACAGTTTGCATTTAATTTTCTTGAGGGGACACTCATCCATACTACATCCAGAAATATTTCTAATTTTAAAATGCATCTTTCTAATAATAATAACATTCATCATTCTTCAGAATGAGCCATTGTGCATGTGTACAGTGTCTTAGACTGCATTTTCAGGTTTAGATCCAGTTGTGTCCTTTCAAAGTAAAATTTCTTCAAATCAGTCATGGTAATTAGCTTGAAGCAGTCTGTTTATGCTTTGACATTTTAATTGGAAGTAGATGAATAAACTGAGCAAGCATTTGTTAGCCTATAACCAAAATCTATGGCAAGCACAATATGACACGCTACAGTAACAAAGAAGATTTATGATACTGGAGTTAATAATTCCTTCATGTTTATTTTTTATTCCCCCAAATTGTCTTCCTACTTTGTACTTCTTTAAAATAGTGAGACTGAAATTTCACTTGTTATTGTCCAAAGTTGTATCTCACACAAACACATACTCCACCTGGGTCACTTTGAAATTCTGGGGATTTGATAGTTTTCACTGTTATCTACTAAAGGAAATTTATCACTAGATCCAGACAGAAGTCTTCCCATTTTTTACAATGGATGCAGCCTTCTCTGTGGCTGACTTGGGTCTTGCTCCTTGTTTCTCTTGGACTGTATTAACTCGATTCTGCTCAGCCATAGTGCCTCCCGACACAGGACTACTGGTTCTGGAGGTTTGTTGGTTGTTTTTGGTTTGGTAGGTTTGAAAAGCCATATCAAGCTGCTCTTGTGCCACCCGTAGATGCCGGTGCAGACTTGCAAGATCAGAGGGGATATTCTCATCTGGGCTGGTGCACTGCTGCTCCTGGGCCACATTGGCCATATTCTGCTCATGTGTGATGAGGCTGTTGGGGATCCTGCTAGGCTTTTCTGTCTTCATCACAAGATTGTACCCTGGAGGGGATGCTGGGATGTTACGGGAGAATGGGTAGCCGTATGACATCCGCTGGCCACGGTTCCTCTTCATGCGAAGAGTATCCCGAAAAGTGCCAATCCCCAAGTGAAGCATCTCACAGACATTTAGCACGAGACAAAGACAGCTTACCACATACATAATTAGGAGGAAGATTGTTTTTTCTGTGGGCCTGGAGATGAAACAGTCCACTCTGTGTGGGCAGGGCACCCTGTTGCATACATACGAAGGATTAACTCGAAAACCATAAAGGAGGTACTGTCCAGCAAGGAAAGCAATTTCAAAAATAGCTCTTGACATGAGTTGGAGGACATAGATTCTCATCAGGCCTTCTTGCATTATTTTTCTGCGGCCATCATATTTTGGTGGGTCTTTGCTAGTACTGCTTACTGGTTCAGGTTTGGCCTCCTGCACCTCCAGTGTATCCTCATAGATCATTGGCTCTGCATCGTCATCTTCCTCCTCCTCTAAGACTTCCTGCAGATGGTGGCTCTCTCTCCATCTCAAGTGAGGAGGTGGCTTTTTGCGAAGTCTTTGCTGCTTCCTGCGCTCCTCCTCTGAACTTCGGGCAATCTTGTGGATGGCATAACCCATGTACATGACAGAGGGAGTGGAGATCATGATGATCTGGAAGACCCAGAAGCGAACATGCGAGAGGGGAGCGAATGCGTCATAGCATACGTTGTCACAACCTGGTTGCTTGGTGTTGCAGGTGAACTTGGTCTGCTCGTCCGAGTAGATGGACTCACCTCCGACTGCTGTGAGCACAATGCGAAAGATGATGAGCACAGTCAGCCACACTTTCCCCACGAAGGTGGAGTGGTTGTGGATCTCTTCCAGGAGGCGAGTGAGAAAGCTCCAGCTCATGTTGCTCTAAGAAGCTTTTCAACTAGAATCTGTTAAAAAGAAAATAAGATAAGTAATAATTAAATGTAAGTAAGGAACTATTCAAGAGATGTTTTGGACTGATGATGTGAACATTTTACATTTTAGCAAACTGTCAGAACTGTAATGAACTCTAGTCTTTGACTAATCAACCCATTGTATTCATTGTGTGGTGTTCTCTAACTAAAATGGTTTTAAGTGACAATTAAATTAATCTTTTTTTTTTTACTCTTCTGTATAAAGATACAATTACCAAAAATATACAAAAATGGCATTAAAAAAAAATCCCAACAGCTTTTTAGATCCCAGGAAGACGATGACAAGAAAACAAACCCAGAAGTAATTTACAGTCCCTGAACAGCAAAGCATCTGAGTTTCCTTAAACTTAAGACCAAATTATAGTCTTAAAATATTTTCTGTTAGTGAAGTTTTTGCTGAAAAGTGTGGCGTCATTTTTCAAGAGAAAGGCAGTTATTGCAAATGAATTTTAATTTTATGATAAAGGTGTTTCACTGATTTTGTTGCTATCTCAGACTTAAACAGTCACTTTGCAAGCATACTTGCTGAAACATACATTATGGATGTGTGACCAGCTCACTTGGCTACTTCTTTTTGTAAAGGATATTTCTCTTTTCAAGTGATTGCACAGCCACAAATAAACAAAGCCTTGTGTTGATGCATAGGGTAAAGTCATTAGGACATCCTGGAATAGTTTTTGACATGGTTGAAATAGTACAAAATAGCTCAGGGAAGATTAAAAGACAAAAAGAAAGCATTCCATCAGCCAAACAAACAAACGCGCCATCAATCATTTGATTAGACAGAACAAAACCGATTGCTACAAGAAAAGAACTCGAGCCAGTTCGGAAACCGAAGAGCGCCTCTTCAAAAACATACTGCAAGCTTTGTTTTAAAACTCCACGCCAATGATCCTACACAGAAATGAGATCTCACAGTGTCATACTCTTCTCATAGCCTGCATCACAACTGACTCAGTGAGGCAACTGTAATGGAGGGAAACAGCGTAGTACTTCTGTCCCTTCATTCATGGTTCACGGTGATCTCATGAATGCAACACTGCATTCCCTGGCGTGTGATGTGCCATCTCTGCTGCCATCTGAGAGAACAGGAGAGGCTTGTTGCTCTGCCACGAGGCCTCCCCTGCAGATCCAGCACTGCTGACGCTGGGGAGGGCTACGGCGTCATGGAGGCAGATGGCACCTATGGTGGGCAGTTCACTTCTGCCCCAGGATGGCATGACAGAAGGGCTGTTTCATGTAGGATGCAATGAATTTGCTGTGTAGCTTAACATCAACCTTATTCTTATAACAACTCATATACATTTACGCTCGCTGCTGATGTGCTTTGAAAACCATTTTTAATTTAATATCAGTTTTGTTTGTATTGCAGAGCTGCAGCAATTTCAGCCCAATGTGCCCCCTGAGTTTTAAATGTCTGTGGAACCTGATAGATTTTCTTAGGATATTTTTTAGGATTAATATAAATTGGCCTACAGTAGTAGTAGAGTAACTATTCTTATTAATTACATGTAAAAATTAAGGTTGGATATTTAATTTAATTTAATTTAATGCTGTAATATTTTTCCAAATCATTAAAAAGAGGAAGAGCTGCCATATTTTTTGTCAAATGTCCCAGAATCTGTTTATTGTGTAAATAACAGGGAGGTATTTAGTGAAGCAGTTAGAGGTAGTTATATAGGACGTTACACAAAATATTTAAAATGTGTGGTTTATGCATCTTGACAATAATGTTTTACATAAAACCATATTATGAAAGGGAACTCTGGCTAAATTAGAGTAGTATCGTAAAATATTTTTAGTGACGAGCTTCCTCTCGGATTGGGACATATTTTTTGCACTGTACAATATAAAACAACTGCTACACATCTTTCCATTTAGTTGCTTTGCATTTGTCAGTGTTTGATATTTGAAAGACTGCTGCAGTAGCGTTAAAATGTCTTTCAGCAAGGTTTGTTTTCAGAAACACGTCCACGCAAACACATCCATGCTGCCATGATGCAAGACTGTAGTTGAACAAATACTAAAATATCTAGTTGGTTTAGACTAGAAAAGAAAGTCGTCTAGAAACAACTCACCTGGAAAAGTTGCACATGTTTTCCCCATCCTGAAGGTCTCCTTTGCCCTCTCTAGATATCCCCTCCACAGTCTGATCCATGGAATACCACTTCCATCCTAATGTCCTGGCCTTCTCCGTCTTACTGATCACTTCCAGAATCACAAAAAAATAAGAAAAATGACTAAACCTGTGGAAATGGAATTTCTTTTCATCCCGTTTTTCACTCTGTTAAGAAGTGAAGTCTCGCCGCTGTGAATGCCTCACATTCTAGCCTGTGTCTGGTTTCTATTACACCAGCCTCCTGCCCAAGAAGGAAGTATAAAAAAAACAGAGAGGCAGAGAAGAAAAAATCCTCCTCTGGCAACTGACCCTCATCCAAGGGTTCAGACTTGAGGATATGGTACTGCAGATTGAAACGAACACCCAGCTGAGGGAGGACGTTAATCTCAACACAGTCAACCTCCCCCCAACGCTCGTGTGCAACATTTGTAACACAGATGATGGAAGTATCACTCTCTCTCTCTCTTTCTCTACTTTTTCTCCCTTTGTCATCGTCTTTATCGCGTTCTGTTTCCGACCACATACAGTAAGCACCTCAGCTTCTAGCACCTTTATATTTTAATGACTGATAAACAGTTTTAGTTCTCTCAAAAGATCATTTAAGACATCACTACATTTTCCTCTATCCCACTCTTTCTGCCACATACAAGCATATCAACAAAAAATAAATGCAGACTGGCAACCTCTCTATTATCAATTACATAACAGTTTACAGTGGGTGACGGTCATGAAAAAACAACTTTGGGGAGGCAAGTAAGTGTAAGGACAGCAGTGTCACTTAGATATAAGCCACCTTGCCTCAATACAGATCCGCTAGAATGTAACCAGCAGGTATGCTCAGTTATATCAAGTGTCATAATATTTAGATCTTCTGTCCAGGCAGATGGCCAGATAGAAGCAGTGGACAGGTCGCAGTCTTTGCTGCGGCTGCACGTCTTTTCCCAACTTGGTGTTTATACTTAAAGCTTTCACCTTGGTCTGTGAAGTGCAGCGGCATGCATTGTTACTAAAGAGATGTAATGGCCTTTATTTTATCATGATGAAAAGACTTGTGCTATATAAACAGAAATCTCACACACATACACGTGCATTACATTAATTGCTTCAGAAATGAAACACCAAAATACAGATGATGAAGCGATTCGTGGAAGATTAGAAGTAGGAATTTCTCCATCGCTTTCTTCTGTGTGCCAGACCTTGCCATCAAGTTTTGAAAGAGATTTAAACTCGACTACTTTTAATAGAAGACAGATAAACTGGTTAGTGTCTGGCTTGCATTAATGAAATGTGCCTGGTCATTGTCACGTTGGCCATATTATTATAAAGTTACTTTCACCAGATCCCCAATAACTCTTTAATTATGATCTGTATACAGCTATAAAGCAGAGAATAACGTTCAACAACATCAGCAAGTCCACCATCAATCAAATCACAGTTTCAACTCAGAAATGATGCAAAATTCTTGATATCCAGTGTCTTTAAACACTGTTGCAATATTATGAGCGCAGGAAGCCAACAGAAATAAATGCCCAGATTAAAACAATAGCAGTAAAAAAGAAGTCTGCATTAAAATCTCATTCTTTTTGAGTCATTTGTGGTCTTAATAAATCTTTGAGTGCTAGCCATCTGGGCCTGTAGGAGCCTTCCTCCAGAGGCCTCGCCTTCAAGTCTCGCCTCTCCATTTGACTGAGGAGATGCGGTGTAGCAAGCACCACTGGTGCAGCAGTGAGGAAAAGAAGATAGGGGATGCTTCTGGAAGGGCTTGAGCATTTGGCGTTTGGACATGTGCTTTCCCTAAGGGACCATTAAGCACGTGTTTTTAAGTTGTAACGCACTGCTCTCCCTCTAAAGTCCTTCCATCATCCAGAAGACACAGATGGTCCAGTGAAGATAGCTGAGAAGTGAACATTTGTGTGACTTAAAAGTGAAGTCAGTTAGAGTTTATGTTCCTCAACAGTTGTATAAATTGCTCACTGTTGATGTGAACTGCATTTATCACTCTGGTATCATAACATTCTGAGCGAAGGAAGCACTCAGAATATTAGAAGAGATTAATATGCAGATGTATTCAGTCAAGATATTAGAACCATTATCTACTAAAACACCTTATGTAATCAAAAATGTATGCCTGAGCATTGCCTTTTTCATTTTATTTATAAATAACTGTTGGCAGGATTACTGTTTTTACAGCAGAAGATTAAGAAAAAATTGACATGATATGAAAATTGATAGTGGCAGTGACAAACAATAAAAACTCAGCTTTAAAATGCGTGCATTTAAATGCATGAGATGCTTAAACGTACTGAATAAAAACAACCCATAGAGTCAACCCATTGGCTGTTTAGCTTTGAATACACAGTCGTTGTGTCCTTGGACAAGTCAGACTGTTCTAGCTTTGGGAAACTGAAGTTCATGTTGATAAGTATTGATTGGACTGCCCTGAGCCAGGAAAATATTACAGTATTCCCCTGTAAGACATTGTTTGACTTTGCTGTTGTTACAAGGACTGGCCACATCTAACAGCCAAAAGAGGGTGTTTAATATTCATTAAGGTTATATTTATTGTTATATGTTAAACAGATCCCTTAAAATAAAGAGAAAAAAGACACTGGAATGTCTCATGAATTTACCAGATTAAAAAAAAAGGTTGTAAAAATACACTGAATTGAATACTCACTATATAAACCATTTCATAACCATTTTCATAGCCCCTGGTTCATGTATACTGTATACTTATACTTCATGCATCAATATTCCAACCAAATAAATGTAAGTTTTGAGTCGCAGACGGTTACGTCTTAAGAGGTCACTGTAAGCTTTTAAGTTTTGTGGCATAGTGACTGCTGAATGATGCAGCATGGAGGAGCGAACATCTCAACAACTGTCCTTGGACGCCGCTGATGACATCACAACAGGTTTATCCGCATGTATTTACTGAACAAAGTTGATGCGAGTAGACTGGGGGCTGTGAAGGTCTGTGTTTATGTAACAGATCAAGCTCCACCATGTGACTTGGATGTGTCCCACCCTCTGGGAGAAAAGAGTGACACAAGACACCCGAGCAAAAACATGCAACTTGGCTCTTGGACTCCTCCTCTCTGATCCTCTGCTACCACTATCATTAAACTACTCTTACCAGGCTGTGAAGGGGTGTCCCACAGGCAGCCTGAGAGTGGTGGCAGTCCCATCGCATTTGTTCATTTTTCTCCCAGTTTCTCAGCTGAGCATCTCCTACCCCCGGGGTGAGTGCGTCCCGTGCCAGTTTCACTAAGGCTGGACTCCACTGAAGCGACTGCATGAAAAGCCTTGAGGAGGATGCCAACAACTTCCCTCAGACAGGGCTCTGCGTCCCCCACACATGAGCAAAGCAACTCGTATTGAGTGTGCATTACATTACGCTGACAAAGGAACTGAAAGTTCATATTTGTTTAGTTTCAATATTAAAGTGTCGACTGGGTTATTATTTTTGAATGTGTTAAATGAACAGAGAAAATAAAACATTAAGAGTCCGACATGCAGGTAAAAGCTCTCGTCTTCATGCACGTCCATATTCACTTAAAGATAAATATGACAAATAGCGTGCAACACTGCAGCAAATCTGGCAGTCACAGGGATTTTAAAAAGCTCTATTACTAACAGGGATAATATATCCACACTCCCATTGATCTATAGGGGGAAGATTAAAACATTATTATTATGTAAACTTCAGAGCTATATCAGGGCAGCCTTCATTGCCAGTTAAAAATTAACGCATTAGTAGTTGTCTCATTAGGTAGTTTATAATATTGAACTATTCTCACCTATAGAACTGACTGTATGGCTGTGGTGAATGTGACACGGATGAATTATGCAATGTTTTTAGTTAAATCTTCTCAGATATGTCATTTGATTTGACTTTAAATAAAAATATTTGCATGGAACCAGTTGTCTAGTTATATTTGAAAGTGAGTAACACACCTTAACACAAAGTAATCTTTGTTAACCAAAATAGCTATAGAGCCCTATAGAAGAAAAGAAAGCAGCTGAAAAGATGCTGAAAAATTTAGAAAGCAGAAGAAAATTTGCCGTCTTAAACAAGAAAAGTAATGAAATCGTAAGTTATCCAGTTCACAATCCCTCACAGTTCACAGGTTAGTATCCATAAAATGACCTTGACCTTGAACTTTATCTCAGGCACAGTTTGGATGAAAACACACTGGGTGATTACTGAGTGCAGGTTTCACGAAAATCTGGCCAGTGCCCTGGGAGGAGCAGAGATTCTTGTGAAATATGACCTTGAACTTAACCTTGATTTGTGTAACGACCGATTAGGTGATCATGTGTGTTTATTCTGACTGATACTGTTGAGGAAGTATTGACAGATACCTCCTCCATGGGCATGAGCTCATAGGTCTGTTTGTAAGCTATAACCTAATATAGAGTTTCAGTGTTAAATTCTGAAAGATAACCGAATTTTAGAGAAATTTTAAAAGTTTTCAAAATGTTATAAAAATATGGTAGCAACATAAAAGCTTTGACTAATATTGTAAAATTCAATGTATAAACATAACGGCATTCACTGTGTAACTTGACCACCGTTATTCATATGATGACTTTCTGATTAGGTTTTCCATCAGAGCAATACAATCCAACTCACAACTAGCCATCAAAAAGAAAGAATTGAAATAACAGCGCTTTGCTTGCAGAGCTGTGAGGCCTTGATCTTTGACGTTATCTTGTCTTAAATGTCTATGTCAAGGAATGAGCTGGGGCAAGCTCAAAGGAGCAGCAGACCTAGTCAGGGTTCATTTGCACTATCAAGGGTATGTTAAGGCAGCTCCTTCCTTCTTCTGGGCATCTTAGTGCAGTTGCCTTTCTCTAACTGAGTGAACTCCAGACACTGATAGCAACGCTGCAGGACATCCTCAGATAACAGCAAGATACTTTTTTAAAAAAAATCTTTAATCTTCTAATGTTGTAAATTAATACAATCAGTTCAGATCATAACTCCACCTATGATTACATTGTATAGTACTATAGTACTTAACACATATAACAATTAAAGTCTTAATCTTGTGATAAGAAAAGTTAATCTACTCCGGAGAATATTAACCTTCAAGGTCACTGTGATTGTTACCAAGTAAATATGCAACTATTCATGCAGCTATTTATTATACCACTGAATGCAGGTTAAGTGTACAGTAGTATATATAATAATATTTTTTTTTAGATTTGAACAACTACATGTGTTAAATCTTCTTCATTTTATCCTTCTGGCATTGCCATTATTAGCCACTAGATGGCAAGCATGTATTCGTTTAAAACACACCAAGTTTGACTCCTGTTGAACTCTTAACAGACATTTAAAAGGTGTTTGACTGTTGCACAACCTAAGGCAAACAGGTGACTGACCTATTTAGGCTTTGATTAGGTGGAATACTAGCAGCCCTGTTTTTCTAAGAACTTTGAAAGTGTGTGCAAACAATAAAAATAACTTGCAGAACAGTTGAAATTGATGTTATTATTTTCTATCACAGTCTATGTTAACATGGCACAAAAACTTCAGATGGAAATCCCTGCAGAGACTGCCTAGCAATCAACATTTAGATTTAGAGCGAGGTTGTTAGGCATGACTGCGTGCTTTTTCAGGCTTTCACACATTGCTTTCCTGAGAAACTCCCCACATTTCTGCACTATTGTTTTTTCTTGTTGTTCAGTGTTTCTGTTTAAGAAAAGTAGGAACTGCAATATAGCACAAAATATTGAAGTAACAGTACTGTGAAAAAGTTTTGAGTCATGTCTTATTTCTTTTTGGCTCATCTTTCACTCTCTCCCTCCCTTATCTTCCCTGCTGCTGCTTCTATGTCTTTGTCTAGTCTCGTCTAACTCTAACCCTCAAATAGTTTCTCAGTCTTGTTGTCTAATACCTAAAGAATTATGGATTTGATCAACTGGTCCCGTAACAAAATTGACATCCTCCTGGGCTTGGGAGAGCCCGATTGTCCTGCGGGGACGGTTGCTGCCGGATACTCGATGGTCGGTTGCGTCGTGTGTCTGGTGACACTCTCGGTGGAGGAAATTGAATGACATCTAACCAATTCGGAACCACGATAACAGAGTCCTGGCTGATCGGAGCTGGCTCGGACCTGGCTTGTCGAAGAACAAGAAGCGGCTACAGCTGTTCAAAATCCAATAAAGCTGGCCGACATGATAGACAATGGGCAAGGCTGTGAGTAAGACTGTGTTATTGAACACAATATGGATAAGATCTTGGAGAAGAAGAACAGGAATTAAGGGAATTGAGAGAATTGGTAACCAGTGACGGACATTAGACCAACTATAAAAATTGGATGCAGTTGTTCGCACTAACTCAAACATTCACCATCTTTACTCATGCCGCTATCCCACTGGGGCCAGCTGAAGGCCTGCCAGGGTCGAAGCGGACTGGAACAACAAATTCTTCCCATGATAACAGATTGACACACACACACGCACGAAACATGTACAGTGATACGGATACTATCACCAACCCTCCCCCGAATCGAACGCCTCCTCCCATGCTTACCTCCCATGGACAGCGGATCAGCCGGAGGCGCCATTGAAGATTGCAGCGGTCCCAGATCCAGCTGTACACACTGGAATATTCCCCCATGTTGCTTGTCTGTGTTTTATTGTGTTATGGTGTGTTGATATCTGTGCATTCCTGGATTATCCTTTTGTGTTACACATTTCAATGGGTTTTTTTTCCCCCTGACCTGTCTCCCCAATGTGATGTGTGTGTATTGTATGTACGGTTGGTAAGGTCTGTCATCTCGATTGTGGGCAACTGCAGTTGACAAATAAAGACTATCTCATCTCTCTCATCATCTTCATATTTTACTTTTAAGGAGCCAAACTTTCTGGGGTCATTAAAGCCATTTAACACTCACCAATGAAGCCTTCAAGCATAAAAAGATACCTGAAGCAGGGATGAACGGTGTTGTGTCTACACATAAACAGAAAATGTAATGAGACTCCATTTTAAATTGTATCTTTAGGCACTTTGTTATTAGTAGCCTTTTGCAAAACACATATTTTTATCCCATTTCTTTTGTTGAATATATCAAATATAAAAAGAGATAAGGTAATTCACCTGGTATAAAATAGTATTTTTCCATCGACAAGTGATTCCCAATGTGCAAACTTGTCACATCTCAGTACTTTTCATAGTGTGTTCCTAAAAATCAGAGGAAATTGGATGTGTGGAGGACAAAAGAACAAGTGGCAGGCCTAGAAAACTATAGCAGATGAAGAGTATCTGAAAGTAATGTCTTAAAGAAAAAGGAAGAGATCCAGCAAAGCTCGGACACAGGACCTGAGAGATGCATCTAGCCCTGCAGTCGGTCCATCAGTTGTTCACTGACACCTCAAAAAGAAATAATCTTGGTGGAAGTGAGACCATTTCAGTATTGAAAATCAGTGTAAAGAGGAGGCCAGCAGAGAAGTACAACAGCACTGTCTACAGTCATTGGTAAAATATAGTTCAGCCTTTGGTTCCATTTCAGCCAAAGTAAATATATGGCAGTTTATTACCTTGAAGCGTGGTAACAGTGACATAGCGTGAATAAACGGTAGTGTACCAATTTCTTAACCACAGTATGATGTTACTTTGCCGATGTAATTTATGACAAAAGGCATAACGGTATCTCACTGGCGTCACTATCACCGTAAAAGAGGCTACAGTGCACAACTTTTCCAAGACTATTATAGCACAACAGCAAAAAACTGTATCATCCTGAAGTTCGGTAACTTACCATAACACGGCGTCACGGTATGACGCTGGCAACAGTGACGCAAATATGTTACCGTATAGTAGAGACAAAAAGTCTAACACTACGGTGGTGTTGGGGATCTTGTAAAAAAAATGATGGAATTATGAGCCCAAAAAGATACCATCAGATTTTGATCCACCATGTATGCAAGCATTTAACTGACAACAGCTTTATTTTTCAGCATCACAATGATCTCAAACACTACCAATCCAGTAACGCATACGAGGACAGAAAAACACACAATGGAAAACTATCAGTCATGGACTGTCCTCCCCAAAACATTATCAGTATTATTATTTAAGAAGTGTACAATCATCCTGCCAGAGGATAGAACAAACAGCCAACACCCAAAGAAGAGCTTTTAAAATCCTTCAAGAAAACTGGAGAACTATCATGAAGGTTACTGCCCAATAGAAGCTTGAAGCCCTTCTCCTCACATACAAGATTTTGAATTATCAGGCCCCAACTTATCACCTGATCCTTCACAATAGGTGAAGGAACTAATTTTCTACAACGTCTTTTAACTTGAGAAGGCCAGCGGATGTTTTTTCTCTTGGTTATGATTAATTTGATAACATTCACTCGATTGACTAATACTCAGAACAATGGGACACAATGAACTCAGCAAAGACATAAGAAGGAAAACTTGTTGTGAACAAGTTGAGAAGGTCACTTAAAGCATTTTCTAAAAAAACTGCAGAATCCCAGATCACCAGTTCAAACAATTATGCATAACTGCAAGTTATTCAGATGTGTCACCACTTTGCCAATGTCTGGTTATCAGTAGTTATTATTCATCTTTGGCTCTCTTCCACAGCGTGTCTTTTTCCCTGTCTCCTATTTAATGAAGCCAAAAAAAGCTATAAAGTACAAAAAAGAAAAAAAGAATTGACTTATTCCGAGGGGATCAATGGGAGGCACTCACTGATTTCCCGTCTACTGACGCATAAATTAATTTTTAAGCTTTAAAAATAATGTTCAGCATAATCAATAAAAGACAATAGGACAATAAAAGACTTGCACCTACCTGTCCATGTGGGTAAAGAAGAAAGTGTATTTAGAATTTATAGTAACGCACACTGGGCAGGCATCCAGAAGCATCCTTTCATTGCTAAAGCTCAGAAGAAGGATGAGCAAGACAATAGGGTCCTTTTTATCCAAAACCCCTCACCACCAAGTACAGGCAGGACACTCAGGAAAGCAGCATCCTGCCAAAGGCCCCATTGTTCCCGGCTCATGTGCCTCTATTGCCATGACCACCAACAGTTTATTTTGTTTCCAGGAACAGGCCTATTAAACTTACTGAGAGATTTATCAGTTAACATTAAACCTAAGAAATATTTGTAGGTGCATGAGTGAGATTACTTCCCTAAATTATTATTATCTGCTGATTAAAACCGCAGATAACCAGTGTTAGTCAAGTTACTTGAAAAAAGTAATCAGTAACTAATTACTGATTACTTCCCCCCAAAAGTAATCCTGTTACTTTACTGATTACTTTTTAAAAAGTAATTAGTTACTTAGTTTCTTAGTTACTTTTTAAAAACATGATTTACAACCTGAATAGGTAATAAAGCGATAGATCCTTCAGCCCAATTCTACTTTTTCTGCATAATCCTTCATATAAAATGTAATCAAATGAAAAAGTCTCTTTTTAAAACTTGTTTTATTAGTTTTAATATTTTAACTTTATGCATCAAGCAAAAAATTTAATTATATGCAACATTCTCTGACTGGAAGAAATTTGTTTAAGCACAGCACATAAAATAAAATAGTTTTTTGTGTTTACATCCACTCTTTCAAATAGAAGCAAGTAAAACACAGCAGAAAATAAATAAAATCAAAGTCCTGTTGCTTTATCTGTTGAGCAGGAGTTGAGCAGGAGTGGGGCAGGCAGATGTTTGCCCTGGTGCAGGTGTGTCGCAGCCTTTATGTCAGTGGAAGAATCCGGGAGTTTCTCTGCGAATTTCACATTCCCGTCGTAGCGCACTCGGTGCTTGCTTGGAAGTTTAGGGGTTTTTTTTCGCTGTAAAAATAAGTTATCTTCCCACGCAGTGAACAGTGGACTCTAATGTTTTTGTCACTTTTTACGGAATTAAACTCAAAGTAAGGTTAGTACTTCCACGCTTTAAACGCTGCACACTCATACTCTCTCCGCACTCGATATATTATCCATTGTTGATCTGCACACAGCTGTTGTCACGAACGTCACACTCGCTTACGTCATGAGACATTCTCGCAAAAAAATCACGGTTTTAGTAACGCAGTATCGCAGCATGCTTACGGGAAAGTAACGGTAATCTAATTACCGTTTTTGCAATAGTAATCCCTTACTTTACTCATTACTTGAAAAAAGTAATCGGATTATCTCTGCAGATAACACTTATCACTTTGTGTTGTTTTAAGCAGAAAAAATTGTGATTAAGTATGTAAATATCCTGAGCTTTAATAACAATAATACTTTGAAATATATATGTGCCTCATGTTAATTCCTCCTCTGTAGCTTTTCTTTTTGTCTTTTTTTTGTCAGAAAGGTTAAACAAGAACTAAAACCTGGTGGCAGCTGCTTACCTATTTCCCAACTAGTTGCCAGATCGGGTGGATTTACATGTGCAATTCTCCCATTTATCTAGGCTTGGGACCAGCACTAGGAGTACATTAACCCTGAGGTTGGGTAAGAACTACTAAGCCACAGTTCATACAAATTAATGCAGATGTGAAACATGGGCAAAGGAAGGATCAAATTATTGATTGGTGTGGAATCATTGGCACAGCTTCTTTAAAACCGTCCGATAGGGCCCTGCTTTTTTGTCATAATAGTGATTAGATTTACTTGGCTATTCCTGATCATGGTGTAATCACATAGTACACAGTTACACAGTATTGCAGTAATGTAATCTGTTATTGTATTAAATTCAGTAATTACATTACAGATACATTTATGTCATTTATGTCATTTATGTCATTTATTTGAAATGCATTTCAACGGCTGTACAGTCATCTGCACTCTGAGCGGAAAGAAAGGAAAAAATCTGTGTTCAAGACAGAAACAACTTACATTTTACTGTTAACACAACTTTGGTCTTTGCAAGCATCTGCACAAACAGTATCCTAACACAAATCTAGATGAGAACCATGCTTGCATGCTGACCCCAGTCCAGCAGCCAGACCCTAAACTTCAAAAGGACACAAAAGCAGTGATGAGCAGTCAGGCTTGCAGAACTGTGGCCTCCATTTCTACCTGTTTCTAAAATATAACATGTTTATAATATGATATTTCTGTTCATACCTAAAGCTTGTGACAGCAAATGTGTCAGCTTTTTTCTTTTTCAATTCAAATGTTTTGTCCTGTAGACATTACTGTGTACTTTATGATATGGTTTTTTGCCCTACATTTAGACTAAATAGCATAAATTATTTATGTATAAAGTCTTACTGGGTGATCTCTTTTCTTGCCTGTGTAAATTCTGTGTAAAGCTGAATGCTTTTGTGTCCCTGGGAGGGTTCAAACCTCTTACAAAGTAGGACTGCAACTGCTATTCAAAAGCTGGACTTTGTGATGTCTCTGTGATTAATTTACTTGGTTACTTGGCAGCTGTTACTTGGTCCTTCTGATTTGCTTTACTTTTTGTTTTATGTGTATATGTGTTGATGCTAAGCTTAGTTTAAGAGATGTTAATCTCAGCAGACGTTTTGTTTGAAATTAAGGTGTAATAGGTAAATAAAAAACAATGTGAAATAGGTCCGTGAAGGTTCTCAGTCAGCCAGGTCTGTGTAGTCTAGACGCTTTTCTTTCCAAACTCCTTAGATTACAATGTGAAATAGGTGTAAAACAATAGCAGTGAGACCCAAAGAGAAGGACTAACATGGATTGGGAAATGTGCTCCTGATGTGAGAACTGCATCAGAAATCTGAACCTCCTTGCTTTGCTTTGATAATTATGAAATAGATCTAAACACCAAAACAGAGCATATGGCAAGCAGATCTCTGATGTGTGTGCTCAGCAATAAATAACACTAAATATTTTAACCCTCAAGGAGCTTGTAAAACATAGTGTGAGAGTGAAGTTAACCTCTCCTTTCTTCAAACTATTGAGGCACTTTTGAGTTTCTAAATGAGACCTGTATTTACAATGGCAATGTGAATTTAATTTATATAGCACATTTTATTCCAAGTAAACTCAATGTGCTTAACATATAAGAGTAAATCATTAAAAAAAATCTATGTAGGTCTACTATGCCTTAAGGCAACAAAACAACAAAGCAAGATTTAGACCAAAAAAAATCCAAGTTAACAAGGTTTTATATGTGAGATTTTAAACACAAGGCTGTGTGTTACGTAACAATATAGTGGAATTTAGGGTATAAAGTCACTTCCTCTGTGTGTGTTGTTGTGCATTTGATCCCCTCACAGCTTTAATAAATACCTGAAACATTCATTAATATGATTTTTACACCCAACATTTAGACATTTAGTCCATTTTAAACCAAAATCTTAAACCAATAAGATGAAGTTAAAGATCTCATTGGACATAAGACAAATGGACTGTTAATATGACCACACTCTAAATACTTTCAGAAATCATTGAAAGTTTTTCAAGCTATCATGTTTACAAACAGAAAGATTGACGTTCATTCAAACGCTACCAAAAAAATAGTCTCCATGGTGGTAATAAAGTAAGTCAAAGAAAAACAAAGAACTATCTAGGGACTGTGGTCATGGTGAGTAAATCGGTTTTAATGGAATTTAATTGCCCCATGCTTCACTTTATAAGGGTTCGGGTAAACTCAGTCAATTAAATAATTATACAAAAAATGAGCTTTCACAATAATACAATGATTCAATTGTAACTGATAGAAAATAATCCCAATTTTTCTCAGTGACAACCTTTTTTTTCTCTGACTGGCTTAATATCTGAGTCTGAATCTGAACTGGACATCTCTAACAGGTTGCATCGTTCCAGATCCATATCGACTGAGGTTAATTTCAGGTATCTTCACATCCGGATTCTTCAGCTCAAACTCAAAATAGACCAACATGAGGAAAACAAACTGTTTGAGCTCATTGGTGGCAAAAAAACGGCCAGGGCACATGGAGACCCCGGATCCCCAGGGCATGGTGTAATATTTTACCTTCTTTCCTGCTTTGTAAAAATCAGTTTTCTTGGTCCCGTCTGGATTCAGGAAGCGGTCATATTTGAATGAGTGCGGCTCAGGATGGATCTCTGGATCTAAAGAGGAGATGGGTATTGATATGTCAATGATAAACAGATACATGTTTGTGCTTCTTTGGGCCTCTCAGAGCAACACAGGGCCTTCTTCATTCTGGCTGCTCCTCTTCCTCATGAAACACCCAGAAGCAATGAAAGCAGTGAAGGAAGAGGTGGATAAAGTTCTGAAAGAATCTGGACAGGAGGTCCGGCCTGGTGGTCCTATGGTCAACCTGACCCGTGAAATGCTGTTGAAAACACCAATGAGCTGAAACAGTTTGTTTTCCTCATGTTGGTCTATTTTGAACTTGAGCTGATGAATCCTGATAAGAAGATTCCTGAAACTGACCTCAGTCGATACGGCTTTGGAACGATGCAACCTGTCAGAGATGTCCAGTTCAGATTCAGACTCAGATATTAAGCCAATCAGATGAAAACAAAACTGTGATTTTCATTTTCTTTCGATCAAGATGGTTTGATGAGCACATTATGGAAATTATGGAAGCAGATTTAAATCTAAAGTTTTTGAC